TTGAAGTTGTGATAAGGACTCATAAAAAAACTTTTCTAGTAAACTGTATGTAGTGAATGTGTTTTTAATCAACAATACTAGTTCATTAACAAAAACTTTCGTATAAACACATTCTAAGTAATTTTATTTATCGTTTATTGCTGTGGTGTTACCATAAAAATAAATGTAAACAAAACGCGACCGATGTCGTGTGTTGTGTTAACGATACTTTTACACTATACGACACGATTATTGCGAAATTGTTCGCTTCTTAGAAAAGTGAATTAATCTAATTGTATGTTGTTTTTTTTTACAATGAGTTTGAATTATATTCAAGCTGCAGTTAACGATGGTAAGGGCTGCTTTTTATATTTTCATTAGTATATTTAGTATAAAAACGAACAAAAAGAAACCAGATTTAGAACTTTAAGGAAACAAACAATCATAAAACACAACGTAACTGTATGTGAATGTTGAATTGTATTGTACGGTACAGTTATTTAATTTCAATCAAAACGAGTAGGTATTACGGTATATGTTTTTAAAAATAAAAAGGTTCCTTGCCTTCCCGTATAGGGGGAAAATTATTAATTGGTTGTCTGTAAAGTTGGTTAACGGACGATAGTTTTACGTGATAACGTCAGTAGCAGGACCATTTGAACTGCAAGCTTTGACGTCAAAAGAGACGACAGCTAAATGTGTCACAAACTAATGCTTGGACTGATCGTGCTTCTCTTTCGCTTGTTACGCGTTCTCACTTGCACGCTCAGGCTCAGGCGGAACGTGACACTTTTTCGTGCGTGTTGCCGGTGTTAATCGATTTATAAGACGTTGACTCACGTCAAAAATATAATTGTGAAAAATAAAATTTTAATAATACCATACACTTGTTTTTTAGTAGTGCCCGTCCTGCTGTCATTGTGGCGATATCGCATCGTCTCTTATAAAGGGAACATCGAAAAACTAATTCACTCGCGCAGTCTATAAAGTTTACACTCGCATGATCATTCGCTAGATAAATTCCTAAATTAAATTTCTCTTCGCGCGTCCAAATTTAACCTCTATCTTCAGCGCGATATGCATCGTTTCCGCGCGTCAGTACATTCCGAATTCAGCGTCGCCTGAAAATAATGTGAGCTTGAAAAGTCGGGGTCATTGCGCCTTGAATTGGGTCAGATAGTGACATTTATTCGAGCCGGATCTGGATTTTTGTTTTTCCTCACGAATGAGCGATGGCGGATTGCGTAACGTGTTTTAGTCCGTAATTTATCGTAGTTCGAATTTATCTTAAAACATCTCGTTTTCGGGGTAACAGTTTTATGTTCTTATAAGTGAGATTAAGTGCGTCAAAACACGGATTTATGTTCTCTTTTTTCAAGCGTTGGATGAGCTGTTTTCGTTTGATTGTGTTGCTCGATTATAATGGTTATTCGGTTGTCTTAAGCTCCTATTTTGTTTAAGGTATCGAATATTTGTTGAAATACTGCTGATGAAGCCGTATGAAGCCTTAATTGCTATGGTCATTACTTCGATCGATGACTACGTCTTGGTGCATTCGGAATTTACGAGTAAAATTGACAGGGTTGAGTTGGATGTAAACTTATTACTACCATAGATAGGTCGGTGTTTTACCCTCTAACATCTGACGAGGAGCACATAGACGCCGAGAATTTGAGGAGGTGGGTCTAACTAAGTCTCAATCGTATTGTATAATGACTGGTTTTGAAATCCGAAGAAATTATTTCCACGCAACAGGAATAGAATAATAATGTACTATAAAATTTCGAATAATATAAGTTTGATTAGTATCCATTGCTTTCTTAATTGCACAACTTATTCTTTTCCCTTATCTTTAATAGTAAATTCATAAATGATTTAATAAAAACAAAAACAGGTACTAAGCCTGCAGTCATACATGCAAATATCATTATTAAAGAAAAAATATGTAGATGACAACATACAAGTTATAAACAAAAAAAAAAACAATCCAAAATAAATATAGATATCTACACGGAAGAATGCGGAATTGTTGTAACATGAAAAATCTAACTTTACATCACAGCCATCATCATTCTCCTGCCCTTCTCCCAGTCACCTGGGGTAGGCGCAACATGTTTTCTCCTTCCATACTCCTCTATCATATACCATTTCTTCGCCCACTCCTTCTCTTACACATATCGTCTTTCACGCAATCCATCCATTTCTTCTTAGGTCTACTTATTCCTCTAATATGTATATAATATAATATGGTAAAATATGATTTAGCCCAGATTGCAAGTTACGACATTTCCGCTTTTTCCTATCGCTATTTTTGTTATAATCTGTAATAACATAATTTAAATACGTAAGGTTTCTTGTGTCGCAGTGTACACTAAGTTTTATTAAATAGAAAGACGCGATCAAAATACAAGTCCTCGAACAAGACTATGACGTAAACACAACGTTGGATGTTTAATCTGTTCACTTAACCGAACAGTGGCGAAGGAATCCAACTTAAATTGTTCCGCAATCGGGATCTAGATCCGCAGTAACGACGGATACCCGCAGTGGGCAGTACGGTGACAATGATTTAATGAGAGCTGTTTAGATTTTTTGGGATTTTTTGTAAAATTTGCAATTTATCAAAAGTGTCCCGTCAAGAGGAGTTTAGGAAATTTTGTGGTGGGTGTCATCTGGCTGCCGGTAAAAATATGCTTGAAGATAAAGAGATGACAGTTGTTGAGCCCACAGAGTCATAAATGAAGCCTTTCGCCTACCAGATGACATGTGTGAATTATATTCATAAAATAGTTATCCTATTATTTAACACAGATATTAATTTACAGTTCAATTTCCCGGCAACATTGTAGCAAGCCGTTATTATACAAATTATTTTTGAACGTACCAGGATATAGTTGTATGTCATTTGGCTACTGACACTGTCAATTTGGACAGACAACCCCTTTAGTGTTGAGCTTATTTTCACATATTTTGCAGACATTGGTAAAGGATTTTTGAAAAAAGTAGGTACCTTACAAAAAGCTTTAAGTTAAAATCAATACTAAATTCACAGAAAAATAACTATAAAAACACCTATAATGAAACTGCACAAATAGTCGGTATTCCGACGCTCCGCTCTTTATACGCATTAATATAGAATCGACCTATCGACGGTTAGCGCTCAAAGGCTTAAAAACTGCTATCCCCAAATTATGGGTGTGAATGCGCGACCACCAGCGACACATCACAAATACAAATAGCTACATTCATTTATTTGCTGTACAGAAAGATATTTTGAAATCTAGATGCGTATTTCCTGCGATACTATAAGAGTGAGTGCAGCTCGAAGTAGGCGTACGTGACTAAAGTTATTTGATGCAGAATGCATGCACTAACATTTTTATTTATGTCGTACCGAGAACCTTCTCGAAGAGTATCGAGTTTGTGATGAATCCGACGCAACACGTTTCACATATCTATCTGATCGGTGCTCACTTGTGGATATTGCCCCTATAAAGTGTAGGTAATTGTAGTAATTGAAAATGGTGTTGTTTTAATATAAATAATACGTTATTAAAAATATACACACAGTTAGATAACTAATTGTAACTATACTGATACTTTAGAACTCACGTCTCAAGGTGGGTGGCGGGGCGGTATTTACGTTGTAGATGTCTATGAGCTCTTGTAACCACTTAACATCAGGTAGGTCGTAAGATAGTCCACCGATCTAGGCAATATTAAGAATTTGAGTACGAAGCCGAGTTTTAAAACTTTTCACAATGTACCTACAAGAATTTTTCATTTATTTTAATAACGTAAAATAATAATAATAATAATAATAATAATAATAATAATAAACATTTATTCCAAACACAAATTAAGTACAAAAAATAAATAAAAAAAGATAACAAAAATAACGAGGCTTGGAAATGGTTACCGGCTCAGCAATGCCTAACAGTATCGAGACAATCGGTACTGCGGCGCTGATCTTCCGCCGGCACCTGCGGAGTGACGCNAGTTATATCAGACGTTTTGAGTTGGGTGAAAATGACGTTCTAGGATATCATTATATTACTTTCACTGGTGGTAGGACCTCTTGTGAGTCCGTACGGGTAGGTACCACCACCCCGCCTATTTCTGCCGTGAAGCAGTAATGCGATTCGGTTTGAAGGGTGGGGTAGCCGTTGTAACTATACTGAGACCTTAGAACTTATATCTCAAGGTGGGTGGCGCATTTACGTTGTAGATGTCTATGGGCTCCAATAACCACTTAACACCAGGTGGGCTGTGAGCTCGTCCACCCATCTAAGTATTAAAAATATATATAAAAAAGCCTGGGGATATTCTATCAGGCTGCCTTTCTTGTTACAGGAACGGCACATCATGGCGTGCGATCACGCGAACATTCTGGCAACTGACTCAATTGTTTTGGGTATATTAGCTTCAATAGCTATTCTGTCATACAAAACGTATTTATGATGTTAATAATTGTGACTAGTTAGCAATAGATGAACCGCGTGACGTTTGTACCTTTGTTACTTTACCAATAAAACTTGTTGCACCCCTGCTTCGTTTTATTTGTTTTTATATTAATCAATTAAACCAAAATTCTCAATTATTCATATTTATATTACAACTATGTTTAGTGTATAATTTGGAGCAAGTTTCTAATCTAGAACCAATCTTCTATCTATGGAAGATAGTTAGAAGTTTTATTTTATTTTATTTAATCTATTAAGCCGAAAAATTTAATGATTCATATTTTTATATTACAACTAAATCGTAAATGCTTAGTTTATAATTTAAAACAAGTTTATAATATCGCGAATTAATCTCTAAAGTAAAAATAACGTGGAAACAACAACGTGTTGTGTTCTGTGTAAACATAATAAATACGCGTGGTAGAAGAAACATTATGTTTTATATTTAAACTACTCGTATACAAACTATCTGAGATTAACTAGCCCGCTGGAGGAGGGAGAGCGTGCGTTCTATTAAATTCTATTCAATGTTTGCGCGCTCCAGCGACACAGTGACCTAGTATTCGCGTTAGGGGAACAAATCGATGCGTTCTGTGGATAGACAATACCATTAAACAAGTTACGTGAATATAGGTAACGAACACATACAAATGAAACGGGCTTTGAAGGTGGAGGTCATCAGTAGGAATGCGCAAACCGAATAGTGCGCATGCCCGGACGTGCTCCCCACGCCTGCGCTTCGCCCGTCGCGGTTAACTCCTTATCAACGTTGCACTGATATTGTAAATTCGTTGAATCAGTTATATTTGTGTAATCCAGAAAATTATAATGAACTTATATCACGTTTTGAGCAAACAATTATAGTCGGCTAACATAAACGGTTAACTTGTTTTCTGATGTGCAACCGTGTCGGCGGTTCGATATCGATACTTGTGCTCTTACTCCTGAATCCCAGGAACTGTTCGGCTAGCATTCAATATGATGCCCCTGGCAAGATATCGCTCAACTCGTAAGTATTCATCACTATAACGTATTCGTTGTTATTTCGTTACAAAAGTACAGTGAGATCGACAATACATTGATTTTTTGCGACGTAATAATATCAATATTATTTCGAATATAATTAATGAATGGTAGCATAGTTACATCCAAGAGTGTTATTCTAAAAACAAACATCTTAAAACCTAGTATCGCATATTGGAATTCGATGATCTTCTCTGATCTAATGATGGAATTTGGATGACGATTTGAATTTGGTTCTGATGATGGATCTGATCTTTAATGTCAAATAGTCTCTTTTCTCTGCACAAAGGCTGAGGAGGCATTATTAACTTTATAGCGAAGACGTGGTATCAGTGAGAAATTATTTTCTTATTATGACGGAGAATCAATCAAAACCGGCTACTGTAAACATCGCGGACAGACTGCAGCGCCCATTACATATACAACAGAATACGAGAACGTCTAATACTTCGCGATTGTGATTACTAAAATTTTTTACGAATTCTAGATTTTCAGTTCAGGCGAGCTCGTTACCCGTTGGATGTTAAACGATTATCGGAGCTCAGACAGAACGATATTTGTACCGTCACGCAGTCGGAGTTCTGATTATTGTAATGACGCCTCTAAACTAAAACGCATAGCCACAAAATACTACGATCTACAACGCTATCTGATGGTTATAGCTTCTGTCGTTTATGGATAGTACCATAGCTAAATTGTTGGTTACCTCTAGATAGGCTGAACTTAAACGATGTTCACTTATTTTTTATTTATTTATTGCTTTGATCGGTAGACGAAGCTCACAACCCACCTGGAGTTTTTTTTTTATTGCCTTTGTAGGCAGACGAGCATACGGCCCACCTGATGGTAAGCGGTCACCGTCGCTCATGGACGTCAGCAATGCCAGGGTTAAGTGGTTACTTGAGCCCATAGACATCTACAACGCAAATGCGCCACCCACTTTGATATATGGTTTCTAAGGTCTCAGTATAGCTACGACGGCTGCCCCACCCTTGAAACCGAAATGCATTACTGCTTCACAGAAATAGGCAGGGTAGTGGTACCTACCCGTGCGGACTCACAAGAGTTTCTACCACCAGTAAAAACGAATACTACTAATATGTATTTATTTGGCAAATGAGCCTACTTATGTTAAGCTAATACTAAAGGTATATCACATTTAAAAACAACTTCACCCATTTTAAGGCAAGAAATTTCAGTTTCATTAGAGTAAACTTTTCCACTGGAAGAATATCGTAATTATAAATCAGAAAGAATAGTTGCTTCGCAGCGTAGATGGGACGCTGGTACATAAGCTTGCAATCTCATAATACAAAATATTCACAGGGTGCAGGCGTGGGCAGTCAAACTTGGTACAGAATTATATCATTTTGGTGAGTTTATTACTCGGAAGAAAGAAGTTCAGGATGTAAGTATGATAGCAATTTACATAATGTACACATTACATTGTACAGGTTTGCTAAGTGCCATTTTGTATTATTCAGAGTTTTAAGTCCGCGCAAATTGAAGTGCGGGATGGAGAAAAATTAGTACAAAACATGGCGGACGATATTCGAGCCATGATGGAGCTCAAAATTAGTGCCGTTAAAAGGATCGTAGAAGCGGCTGAGAACATGGCGTTCGATAAACAAAATGAACCTGTACCGGAAGATTTTCAATTTTACAACAGCAAAGAAATGGATGAACCTTACGATGATGTATCGTTGACGACCACACCAGAACCGGAATTCAATGTTGATAATTGGATTGTTCGACCGCCAACGAAAAGTGCTCATCTACAATCTAATCCCCACTTTTCAAACATACCTGTGAACGCCAATTTTAGTAGCGTTCATGTTCCTACCAATGTTTATGCTTGGGGTTAGTAAATATTTTAGTCAAGATATGTACATATATATCTTCTTCAAACTATTGACCTCTAAATTATTTGTTGTTTAACATTTTGTTTAAACCTACGTGTAAATACGTTAGTTTACATATTATGTTAGAATATAAATTAATTTTTAAATAATTATTATTTATAAACGACTAATTCGAAATAAATATTATTGTAGCGCCGGAAGTAATAAAAGGAATACATTGGTCGGAAGGCTTAGATACGCACTTTATCAATAATTATCAAAGTGATCCGACACTCTCTTGGCAGTACTTCGGCAGTTCAACAGGATTCATGAGGCATTACCCTGGTAAAATACTTAATATTGAGACAAAGATATATTCAGTATTATAGAATTCAATGATTTCTCTTCATATTTCCCTTCTTGCCACATCTCACTACAATTCTTATAAGAACAGAGGTCGGTACCACTTGTATTTAATGTTAGTTTTGTTTGGTTTGTAGTATTAATCGAATTCCTATCAGGCGTCAACGCCCCTCGTATTCGCAAGTCAGCATATTAATTAATAGGATGGCTATGTGGGAATACAAGGAGAGATGTAACAGATACGTGAATATTGGCAATCGAAAATTAACTTCGTGTTTTATTGCTTTTCGTGTACTTCGTTGTTTTTCTTTTAACAATATCAATTGTAGCAATGAAATGGCGGGCTGATCCTGTTGATATATACGATTGTCGTACAAGAGCTTGGTACATGGAAGCGGCAGCCAGTCCAAAGGATGTAGTAATTTTGGTCGATCGCAGCGGGTCAATGACTGGACAAAGACGGGATATCGCTAAGCACGTTGTTACGAATATATTGGATACCCTCGGTAATAATGATTTCGTCAGCGTCATGACCTTTGCTGATACAGTCGAAGAAATTGTACCTTGCTTTGAAGATTCCCTTGTTCAGGTATTACCTATATTTACAAACGTTTTCATTAGATTGAATCTAATTCAATTGTAATATGAATTTTGTTTTATTTACGGCAGGCAACTTTAGGTAATCTACGTGAGCTGAAATTGGCATTGGATAATTTTGAAACAATGGAAATAGCAAACTTTTCTGCGGCTTTGACTAGGGCTTTCGAGCTATTAGAAATTTATCGAAATAACAGCGGCGGAGCTAATTGTAATCAGGTAATAAATTTATTTTTAACAATTTTGTTTGCTATCTTCAGTTTATACAATGCTAGTAAGATTGTGTTCTAATTTATTTTGAACTGTATTTATTGTTGGGTATTTGCCACAGGATATGCTACTTTTAGTCAAACTGTAATCCTTGATACGAGGGATACTGAGTATTCAGATGTACCCAACAATTGGATGTCCTAGCGTGATGACGTCAAGACAAATCTTACTGCCAATTGAACAACTGAATCGGGGTATCTGTTAAGGAAATTATAATCGTAAAAATTGATTTTCTATAGCAGGATTTGAACTCAGCACTCCAGAGTCGTGTCTTAAAATCTTGCCTCATTTATGCTACTCAACACTCCAAAGCACTTATTGTACATTTTGTAAACATTTAAAAGTATAACTATATTAAGTTATATATAGTTTTTCTACTGTTAGCGGAATGGCGTTGCTGATGTCCTTGATAGTAACTGCTTATCGTAAGCTGTGCCGTGTGATCGCCTGTCTACTAAGACATTAAAAATTGGTATATAATGTATCAATATCATCCTCATAAATATCAACATGTATCGTTTTTTTTTTTTTTTTATTGCTTAGATGGGTGGACGAGCTCACAGCCCACCTGGTGTTAAGTGGTTACTGGAGCCCATAGACATCCACAACGTAAATGCGCCACCCACCTTGAGATATAAGTTCTAAGATCCACCCGCGCGGACTCACAAGAGGTCCTACCACCAGTAAAACCTGCGTTATCAATATCTACATAATTTTCAGCCTTTTGATACCCACCACTGGGCACAAATCTCCCTTTTTATGGCGTAATATTCGATCGCCAGCTATTCTTACCTATGTATGTATTGAATAAAGCCAACTAGTTATTATCTAGTACAGAAATTTAATGCAGGGTACTTTGAGATTGTTTTCGAAGCCAAAACGATGGTAAAATACTGGTTTAACGTAAATTAATTTAGAAGAATTGAGTTATTCTTAACACAAGTGTTTTTGACGTAGTATTGACGACGATTGTAGTAAATTGCTCATAGGTACAACCCACTGAGTTTAGCATCGGATTTTCTCAACGGGTCGCGATTTCGATCCGGTGGTAGATTCAGCGAAGCACTGCTCTTGCCAGTGTTAACTGTTGTCTCAGGTTGAGCCCGTGAGCTCACCTACTGGTCCGCTCATAGCTCTAGAATAGGTCTTTAGCCTACTAACGAAAAAAAAGGAAATTTTACTAGAGGCCTCTGTCAAATATAAAAATAATGATTTTACTGTTAATACTCGCTGTGGATTCCCTGACACCACAATACAATACGTCGTTTGAAAAATAAACGTTCCATTCTGCATTTTATAACACTTTTTTCAGGCGATTATGCTAGTTACTGACGGCGTTCCATACAACTACAAAGAAATTTTCGAGAGATACAATTGGAAATACGAGACTCCAGTGAGGGTGTTCACGTACCTGATAGGGCGCGAGGTAAAGGTAGTACCATTTCAGGTATTATTGTGTGTCGTAGCCATTGTGCAGCCAGCATAATGTCCTTCCTTCGTTTTGTCTGTCTACCAGTACTCCTAGAACATGGTATTCTGTCTAGCTATTCTATCAACTGTGCAATTTCTCTTAAGCACGTTTCCTAAAACCTAGCATGCTATCTGAATCTTGTTATAGTGACCACATTCGACTTAATAAATAATGTTATCCTAGCTACTGAATGTTGCTTTGCATTTTGTATACGTTTTTAGAGAATGCTACTTTTTAGATTTTACTTTATCAATCTTATCTTAAATCAACAAGGGATGTAGTGAATCGTTTTATTTATTTATTTGTTAAACTTGATACAGATTAATGTACACGGACATTATTAATACCTCATTCTCGATTAATCAACTTCCAATTTCAACATTTTGTAGTCTGATTTAATATAGATAGAATTTTATTGATCATGTAAATTCCATTTAAAAATTTTGCAGATTCATTACCACGTTAGTTTTTTTTTGCATTACAATTACAATCGAATGCTATAGCTTGAAGATTGTTCAGGTTGCTGATGTCAGGGAAGTGAAATGGATGGCTTGTGCAAATCGAGGATTCTACGTTCATCTCAGTACTTTAGCAGAAGTAAGGGAGCGGGTCTTGGAGCACGTTAATGTTTTGGCGCGGCCCCTTGTGTTGCAAAGAGAAAAACATCCTGTTGTTTGGACTCCTGTATATGCAAATGTCACCGTGAGTCTTCATTGTTAATAGTATAAAAATGATTTGCCAAAAACCGACATCATTACTATTTATGAATATCGAAAACAGTAGTAGTTAAAATTTTAACAAAGCTACACTGGATGTGTGCGTTATTTATTATTCTTAATTTTTTCAATAAAAATGAAATGCTGTTCTTAGGTAATCGCATCATTTGAGAACAACTAACTAGTTCAATTTGAATAATTTTTATTTTACAATATTCGCAACAGTCTTAACAACTCTCATCTTAACGTTTATCATGTCAGCTGGTCGAAAGTTCGGGATTAGGGGAAAAGTGATCTAGGAAATAAGATGCATTAAGGATCTAGGATATACAATAAGCATAAGGGAATAAGATTAAAACATTCAACACTAGATTTAATAGACTGATGATTAGAGTCGCAATCATATATTTTATAATAAGTAGTCGGATATGGAATTATTAAACAAAAACCTACGGCCAGATGGCTTGAAACATTCCTGCAGTACTTTTTATTGCAAATTATATAATTTTCTACAGGATTTTAACAAGCTTTTTTCTAAAGCAATTTATAAATATGTAGTTACGTAGTCGTTATTGTTTTGTCGGCGATTTAGCATGGTTTATTTTGTAACAAATCGGTTCAACAGGATCCTAAAGTGGCTGATTATCTGTGGGAGCAACGCGAAAGAGCCGAACAGAAGGAGCGTTTCTTGAGTCAGCGAAGGGACAAGGTACTCTTCAATTCTGAGAAAGAACAGGATCGACGTTGGAGAATCACACAGGTACTAAGCTGTAGGCTCTTTTGCCAACACATGCATTTCAATTACCACTGAAATGGCCTAAGGACTTATGATACATATTAACATATGCCTTCGTCTAGATGAAACAGGGGCAGTACAGTGAACTAGGAAACTCCCAGTATCAGTTGATGACTTCAGTTTCTATGCCGGTCTACGATCTTCGCCATAACGAGGTGATTGTAATTTCGGTGCATTATTCACATATCTATATCTCTACTTAACGTTTAGAAATGAACTGTGAAATAATTCTCTTTGATAGTTAAAGTTCTCGTCTCGTTTACTTATAGTTTTTCTCCTCCCATCTAAATTCTAAAATCAGTGTTATTAATGCATGTACGAAATTAGGGTCCTGTTCCTTTTAATACGTTTACAGATTGTTTTTACTATTCAAACCAATTGGATCGTAAGCTCTTTCAAACTCTGAGATATTGAATGAAAACGCATTTAATTTCCTTAATTTCTACTAATAACTCCGTTTTGTTTGATGATTTCCCCTCAGAACATCACAGAGAATGTACTGATAAATGAAGCTTACTGGGTATCGGTTACCAAAGAGGTACTATTAACACTTAGACTTTGATGATTTAATGTAAAGTTTTTGCAAGATACAAGAAAGTTTTTATGATTTAGTATTTTGGATTTCAGTAACGGTATAATGTTATTTGGCCCCGTTAGTGATGCATCTGCCCTGGATAGATGACGAAAGCGTCGAGGGTGCGAACATGGGCGCCGAACCGGCCGAATGTGTTGTTCGACCTTTGTGGCTTGTCGTAGTGTCGTAGTTTACTTATAGCTCGTAGGCGTAGACCACTAGGGTGTTTTGATCAACTTTTCTATCAATAAATATCAAACAAATTTTATATGCAAGAGTTATTGGTCACTACACACACTATTCGATAAAACATTACAGTTTTTGCCTGAATGTAGCGATGTCTTCGTAGAGACATTTTAAATAATCGACCTTTAAATTTATAAGTAATGTAAATATTTTAATTTAAAATATCGAACAGCCCGACATTTGACACGTTTGGGGCTTTTGTAATCTATTCAATTTAAACTATCTTAAAGAATGACAAAACTTTTAATGTTCTTACTGACAATTTTAGTTAACTTTTATCTTTGAGCAAGGACCGATGTTAGTGGAGGTTATTACAGAACATTTATCTATATGTTATTATATTTTATTGCATTCATACGTCCACAACAAATCGCAGTCCGTAGAGGAGAATGGACCGAAAGAGGTAGGCGATGTTCACACAATACCTACTGATCTTTAAGACGAATGCTGATGACGTGTGAGCGATGATGGATGCACTCAACAATACTATTACTCATAAGATTCCGGTCTTAGATAAAACAAGAACATCAGCTACGCATACTTATTTTAAACCCATACCGAAATTCTTGGCGCAATATTTTTTTACGTTGTGACTTAACCTATTTTAATAATCGCAATGTTGGCAGATATAAACAGGATTTACAAAGGGTATTCTAATAATTATAATGTAGTGGGTTTTCTAGAATAAAAAAAAATAAAGCGTAGTATGTATTGTATTTTAAAAATCATTATAAACAATATCCACGTAGTTTTGCTAGAACCTGTAACAACTTTTGATAATAATGACATACCTATAAAATGGTTCTATATAAATTTAGAACTTACTAACGGGGCTTAGATGCTAAACGTAAAATTGCTAGAAGATTTCAGAATAAAATTGATTCAATTTATTTAAATATTCGTAGTAAACAAATGGCAATACAGCCAATCGTTTGCGTAGCTAGTGGATTTTTATATATTGACACCTACATTGACACGAAAAAAATTTTTATTGTCATGAAAATATATTTAAAGTAGTCTTACGAGATTATATGGAGTAGACTTTAGAAATATTTTTAATAATTATTTTAATAAAACGTAGAAAAAAAAATACGAGCTCTGATATTAATGAACCTAATTATATATTTTTTTTGTTTTTATATGTGAGTTCTCTAATTTTGTAGATGCGTATTGCCAAATTATTGGGAGTAGCTGGCACGGACGTTCCCTTATCGGAAATACAAGCTCTAATGACACCTTATAAGGTAAGAGAGTTTACAAAGTACTATTCTTGAAATTAATTTGTAATCGTTTCAAATTGAACTCGAAAAGTTTTATGAGAAAATCTTTCGCGTATGGCAGCTAATCATGATATGCCCATTTTTCTTATTTTATTACAGTTAAGCTAACCTAAAAACTGGTGAGCTTAAACTTTAAACAAAGCTTACAAACTGTACAAAATTTCCAGTACAAAAGCAATTAAAAACCAGAAAAAGGCAAAGTGCGTTAACCGTATCCTCTCCAAACGTATCGTTAATATTGCAAGTCGTACTTGAACTCGGATTCCAACACTACTATATTTTTTGAGGTCTCCGTGTTAAACTTAAATAATGAATCTCAAAACAATTGAAATTCAAATCATAGAACGTCATGAAGATGTAATTGACAATACATGTTAAAAAAATTTAAGAAAAAAAGATAATCACAAATCTTGTATCGGCTTAATATAAATTTTATTATAATTCAATATGGACGTAACTATAAAGCATCAGTTCCATATTTCAAACCGTATTAGGAAATACTTTATTACTTAGAAACAAAAAATCAATTCAAAAACTGTTGCCTTATTATTTAACGAAAAGAAAACTCATGAATAAAGTCAAAATGAACCAAAACTTAAACTTATATATATATATATATATCGATATATTTGTGGTTTTGGAAATAAATTGAAGTAAATAATTTATAGATTGGAGTCAACGGGTATGCCTTTATAGTAACAAACAACGGATACATTTTGTTACATCCTGACTTGCGACCTGTGGTAAGTTTTGTTAATTTCAAATGACTTGCTATAAACATTGTAATGCTCGGCTAACATTGATATATCAATGACGGCTAATATTTTCAGCGAATGTCGCAAGCGGTAAAAACGGTAATAAACTATATTATTAACGAAAGTCATCATTTACTAAAATGAGTCAAGTTATTTGTGTACGCATTTTTATAAGTTCGTATTTCGTGAACACAAAGACAACTGACAGTAGCTTTGAACTGTGAGACATTACTTGAATAATATAATCATCAGTTTTTCATCACCCAACCTACCGAGAAGGATTCCAATACGACCTGTATACTGTATAAATAAATATAAGTTAAAAATAAAAAAATACTGCTATTGGAGTAAGGCAAATAAAAAATTTCAATTATAACTTTTTTACTTTGACGGTTCTTGTCAGGATATTAAGCGTAAAGAATCAGACAATCACAAAGTAAGAATCACAAGGAGGACTGGATGACATATTGAAGATCGTGGGAATCCGCTGGATGCGGGGTGCCCAGAAGGGTTCATGTCGATCCTTGGGGGAGGCCTATGACGGTCCGTATATTGACGTCTCTGGGCTGATGATGATTAAGAATAAAATTATTATATTGTCATCAGTCCTTGATGGGTGGGAAATTTCAAGTTAATCGGACAACTTAAGCTTAGTAAAAGTTACGTTAAAAGATTCTGTTACCGTAGCATTACCCAGAAAAATAGATAGACAGTATTGATTACCTGTACCAAAGGTAATGCTAATAAAAATATGTCAAAAAAGGTAATGATGCGAAGCAATGAAGCATTTCGGCTTGATCGTAGAAAAAACATTGTAGTAAAGAAAACTAAGACTCCAATCCTATGTCTCAAGGTGGAATGAGTGACAGGAATGACACACCATTACTATTACGTATGTTTGCAGTTTCAACAAATCCTAAAGCCGAGCTACAACAGTGTGGATATGATTGAAGTTGAGTTGTTTGATGATGACCGAGGACCTAGGAACTTCAGCAAGGAGCTAACTGCGGTACATATTCTATTTATATATTTAGTAGGTATCGGCTTGGCTCTGCCCCTAACATTGCTGAAGTACATGGGCGACGGTAACCACTCACCATCAGGTGGGCCGTGTGTTCGTCTGCCTACAAGAGCAATAAAAAAATTCTCTTTATCGAGTAACATTTAGCGTTAACACAAATATATATTTTTTATTTATATATTTGAATATTGTTTGTTTCAGCTCCGTAAAGAAATCATCGATCAAAAGACAGGCAATAAAGTGATGAACGTCAAATACCACTTGGATGACATGGTAGGTAATATACAAATAACAGCGTACAATGTGAAAATTTCTCATGTTTTGTGGTACATCGAGAAAAACCTCAAAAACTTACGAAATAAACATATTCAAAAGCGTGATTATCTGAAACATGTCTGTTTTCGAAGCAAACCTATCAAATTTATAGATCAAATACTAAATGATATATCTACTTAATAATAGTTTTTAGAGAAATTTAATTTAATAAAAAATGAATTTAATTATATCTATTTGCGTGACTTAGCCGGAGGACATATTAATAATCTAGAAATATCTAAATATCGTGTTTATACCAAAACTGGATACGCCCCGTTTCAGTTTTTTAAGCATTGAAATTTGAATCTCTTATCTAAAAAATGGTCGGTGGCACATTATGGTACCAAAGCGGTTCGATGACTACTCAACCCTTAGCGAGCTTATCTNGAATTTAATTATATCTATTTGCGTGACTTAGCCGGAGGACATATTAATAATCTAGAAATATCTAAATATCGTGTTTATACCAAAACTGGATACGCCCCGTTTCAGTTTTTTAAGCATTGAAATTTGAATCTCTTATCTAAAAAATGGTCGGTGGCACATTATGGTACCAAAGCGGTTCGATGACTACTCAACCCTTAGCGAGCTTATCTACTTAATTATATATAAAAATACATGTAAATTTTGAAAAACTGTACTTTATATATAATAATATGGCTTCAATATTAATTTTGAATTCTAGAAAAGAGTATCGCGAGCTAAGAAGCATTACTTCTGGACGGGAATCAGTGACTCACCGTTTACTTTGGTAGTTACGATCCCCGAGAACTACGGACGTCATCGTATCACACCTCCCCCGACGGATGATATTCACCGCTTATCGCTCACATCCAAGAACATATCGGCCCGGCAGTATTTATCTGATAAATGGAGCGTCCACCCTGATTGGTAAGAACTTGAGCTTAACCTGCCTCGTCAGAGTATTTTAAAAATGTTGCGAGTTCAAACGACGCTAACTTCTTCGGTTTTTACTATTACAAAGAGAAGCCCTTCCATTGAGTTTGTATCTTTGATCTATTGTTTATTTTATTTAGGCCATCAGCGATTATGTAGGAAAAACATTGTGTATAGTGTCTATGTTCATGAGTCGACGTCCCGTTATTTAAATAAGTTTTTTTTTGCTAAGTTTGACAGATAAACTCAAGGACTTGATATTAAATATATGTTTAGCAAAAACTATTGTCCGCCATAAGACATGATATTGATACAACATGTGATGGCTTTGAATTTTAAGATATGGTTTTTTTTTGTTGATAAAAGTCACTCGTGTACATGCATATGTACATTTTTACTTATAAAAATTGGTACCTGCCTTCAGAATTTTAATACAGGCATATGACGAATATATCGGGTATCTTCTCCGTCATGTAACGGACAAAAATTTTGTTGTCAATTTGCTATAAATAACCTTAACAAAAGTTATGATGGTTTTTAAATGCATTAAGTGTACCTGTAAATTTCGATTATTTTTTTGCTTAGATGAGTGGACGAGCTCACAGCCCACCTGGTGTTAAGTGGTTACTGGAGCCCATAGACATTTACAAAGTAAATGCGCCACGCACCTTGAGATACAAGTTCTAAGGTCTCAGTACAGTTATAAAGGCTACCCCACCCTTCAAACCGAAACGCATTACTGCTTCACGGCAGAAATAGGCAGAGAGGTGGTACCTACCCGTGCGGACTCACAAGAGTCCTACCACCAGTAATTACGCAAATTATAATTTTTGCGGGTTTGATTTTTATTACACGATGTTATTCCTTCACCGTGGAAGTCAATCGTGAACATTCGTTAAGTACGTATTTCATTAGAAAAATTGGTACCCGCCTGCGGGATTCGAACACCGGTGCATCGCTAAATACGAATGCACCGGACGTCTTATCCTTTAGGCCACGACGACTTCAAAATTAATTAATTTCGATTAATTTATTGTATATGAACGGCACAATTCTTTTTTTTTTTAATTGCTTAGGTGTGTGGACGAGCTCACAGCCCACCTGGTGTTAAGTGGTTACTGGAAGCCCATAGACATCTACAACGCAAATGCGTCACCCACCTTGAGACACAAGTTCTAAGGTCTCAGGTATAGTTACAACGGCTGCCCCATCATTCAAACCGAAACGCATTACTGCTTCACGGCAGAAATAATAATAATTCAATTTACGCATTTAACTTTGAGGTTGTACTGTCGTCACTACGAGCGTACTTTTTCATCGCCCGAAGAAGAGTTGCTTTACTTTTTGGAGCGCGTTGCGAAGCCAGGGTGGAGATGGCCGGCGAAACCAAGACCCCCGGAACACCACAAGAACAAACAAGGCCACGAACGACATAACAATGGTAATGTTTACTAGAATTGAAACAGCTGCAATCACTTGATAGTTTAGTGTTCTTAAATTGAGTACTCATCTACTCATAAACGAACTCATGGCCCATCTAGTGCTAGACTAACTGAGCCAATGGACTTATAGTATATAATTAAATATTTACTGGTGGTAGGACCTCTTGTGAGTCCGCGCGGGTGGGTACCACCACCCTGCCTATTTCTGCCGTGAAGCAGTAATGCGTTTCGGTTTGAAGGGTGGGCCAGCCGTTGTAACTATACTTGAGACCTTAGAACTTATATCTCAAGGTGGGTGGCGCATTTACGTTGTGGATGTCTATGGGCGTAAACGTAACCACTTAACACCAGGTGGGCTGTGAGCTCGTCCACCCATCTAAGCAATAAATAAATAAATGCCAATACCGCCACCTACTTAGACCTGACATCGAAGTCTCAATTGTATTGTGTAAGGGTTGTTCCACCCTGCCTGTTTTTGAAATCGGATTGCATAACTTTTTTGATCGAACTTACATGATAAAGTAAAGCTGCACTTTTTAGCATCAGTTAACGTCTCTGCGTCAGAAACGTAGTATGCAAACCCTATTGACAAATAAGCTCATTAAGTTGTTCGACATATGAAAATACCTCGCAATTGTGGTTATAAAGAGATTACAAATTATTTTTCAGGAACACCGGAAACTAAAGATCGGAACAAAGTTACAAACAGCACTCCCAGAAATGAATATTACTGTAAGTACCTAGTCTATTTTCGACTATTTTAGTGACAGTGTTAAGTAGACAGAGCTATTTTAATACTTTCGCTCACATCGAAACATGAGATGAAAGACTTTAGTCTTTTGTAATAAAAGCTCGTCCCACCTTTCGAACCGGAACCAACGAATCCACCGCGGCAGAAAAAGAGCAGAATCGTAATACAATAAGAATCACTCACTATGAGAATTAGAGGCAGGAGTATATGAATTTAGGAAGGAAATGAAATCTACCTACCTAAATTTTACGTTGATCGTAACCGTATTATTTATCTTTATCGTATCTTAATTGAGATATTTTATTCGAGCTATAGTTACAACGTAGCGTTTTTTTTGCAATGAAAACTATATTGTACAATGGTTTTTATTTCTGAAACATTAAACTACACAATTGAAAAGGATTTAGATTTTAACTTACCTAGATAAAATGTATTGAATCATTAAAAAGTCCTATTTTATGGTACAGGTGACCACGGCTTGATGCAGGCTCTGGTATATGATGCCAGAAACACCGCATGGTTCAATAAGAGTATTTCCGATTCGGCTTCCGATGAAAAAGCGTAAGTATATAACACTACTTGTATGTAAACAGCGTTTATTTATATTTTGCCATACTATCGAATCACACTTGCAGTAAATGAAATTTTAATTTCGAAATAAATTGCTATATTGCATTAATGGGATAAGGATCGATGTCAAGAGTGAATTGTTGACTCCCAATTGTAGGATTTACGGGGTATCTTCAAACAACATGAAATTAGAAAGAAAAAAAAAACTGGGACACACGGAACGATTAGATTTTATATAAGATCTTTTTGGTGCACTGGTCAACCAAATTACTGACACGATAAGCATTTTCATAAACTAAACCAAGCAAATGAAAATGTTTATTTTGTGTTAGTTTGTGTGTGTATAAATGAGTCGTCTATTATCAAAGGTGGCAATCTGTGCATTTGGACAAAAAAAAAATTATTGATATGTCAATACAGATTGATTTGAATATAATCGTCTCCTTCAAAGAATACGGTTCAAAACCTGCATTATATAAAGGTTAATAGTTAACCTGTTATTTATCCAAGATGTCGTTCAGAAGAGTTTTGTGACTGCCAATGGAATACAAAGTCAATAATTCGTTTTTCTGATTTACCAATAATTGTCCAAAAGTCACATTGCCGGCTTTGATAATAGTCGACTCAAGTACCCTTACGGTTTTCGGAGCGGTTCCGTAATATAAAAGTATTTTATAATTTCGAAACGATTGCTTTTTTTTAGCTTAATAGAAAATATTAGTAGCATTTCTCACGCACATTAATTTATTTTCAAATATGTATGATTTTGTGATTGTCACCTGGATAGCCCATTGACAAAAGTGATTGGACTATTGCCGAGGTAAAGTACCTTTAGATTACAACATTACTTTACAAATGTACTTGTTGCATGAACGAAAAAAAAGAAAGTTCTCGGACCTGAGTTTAATATCAAATATTCTTTAATAGTATTTAAAAGTTAATTTGTATAGGAATGAAATTTAAAAATTAAAAAAATAATCTGGTATATAGAATAATTATTATATTTAAGACTACTAAATATACGAGAGAATTATTAGCTATATGTAATAGCAAGTTTTTTCATAGTTGATAATAAATATCCTTTGATTGTGTAACTAAACAATGCAGCCTCGGAAAGGTTTGTACGTTGTAAGTACATGAAGCGATTAACGGAATTGTAGTTGTGAGTATGAGAACTGTAGGGTTTTAGCATTGATGTATTAAAATTTAGCTACAGTGTGCTTAGTGAGAGTTCTTTAACGCTCTCGATAGCGTAACAGTTAATTCAAATTTGTATGGAATTGGAACGTTTGCCTACGTTTGCCGCTAGGGGCGCTGTTCCGACTGCATACAAAGTTAACTTTACGCTATGTCGACGTCGCCCAAAACACGTCATTACGGATCCTCCCGATCCATTAACGGTGCTTTTAGGTACCACAAGCACCGACCACAGTCCTCGTTGAACCCGTCGCTTGCGACGAAGGGCTCGACGAGCGAATTAACCCCTAGACACAGCCCACTGAGTTTCTCGCCGGATCTTCTCAGTGGGTCGCGTTTCCGATCCGGTGGTAGATTCTGCGAAGCACTGCTCTTGCTAGGGTTAATGCTAGCATCACTCCGGTTGAGCCCCGTGAGCTCATCTACTAGTTAAGGTTACGCTGAAATAGCCTCTCAAGGCTATAAGTTTACGCTATCGAGAACGTTAAAAACTCACACTAAGCACACAGTTTACGAAACGTATTTGCTCGAGCCTAGCGTTCTCTCTTGAATGACGGATAAACTTATTTCACAGACTGTATTGATAAGATATTTGGTGGAAAAGCATAAGCAAACAACTTAATCGAATTATGTTTTTCGTGACTAAAGAACTATCTTATATGGAGTACAAGTTGACTTGAAGAACAAAGCACAACTAAAAATCCAACTAAAGTAACGCTAACGTAGCATGTATTTATTATAATGTAGCAGTTCTAAATGGAGTGAAGTGTACCGAGTTGAAAAACTTAATTTAATACTTTTTGACGGTAATTTGTAAATTAAATCAGTGTGCTTAGTGCGAGTTTATTAACGTTCTCGATAGCGTAAAAGTTATCTCATATTTGTATGGAATGGGATCGTTTGCCTACGTTTGCCGTTAGGGGCGCTGTTCCAACTGCATACAAAATTGGTTTAACTTTTACACTATCGAGTACGTTAAAAACTCGCACTAAGCACACTGTTCTTGATAGCGTCGCCCTAACTTATCGCTTTTCGATGGTCGATGGACACTTTTTTTATACACTAGAGTAGTAAAAATCAAGAAATTGGTATACAATTTTATTGGTTTACAATGTATTTAGAGTTTCACTAAACACGAAGCTCGCAGTTCTAATCACAAACGAATTGATCACAGGTCTGAGTTCATTCAGCGTTTTGGATACATCGTGGCATTTCTGTCAACTCACAGCGGATTGACACGATGGCAAACTCATCCGCCGAGGGAGCAGGATAACGTTAGGTGACTCAGTTCAGCTTCATGCTAATTAATAACTATTGTTTCAATAATGGCAGCAACAACGGTTATTTCGACTTCGAGTTGCTTAGTACGAGTTTTTAACTTCTCGATCGCGTAAAAGTTAACGCAAATTTGAATGGAATTGGAACATTGCCCCTAGCGGCAAAATTAAGGGCGCTGTTCCAACTTTGTACACAGAGTAGTGAGTAATTAGAGATTCTTCACTATGTCACAGATGTCAGTACATTATGCATCAAGGGAGAAAGACATTTCCTCCCGCGTGTTTGCCACGCAATTTTACACGCGGAAGGAAATGTCCTACTTTTTTACCGCGGTGCACATACTATTTTTTCTCCTACCAGGCCGAAAGTTCGTCTAGTACCGAGCCGGGGTCCAAGGGCGAAGCCCCCCCTACTCATAAAAAAACAATTAAACTGTTTTTTAATTTTTATATAAACTACTACTAATTGAATAAGAAATGTCTGATGAACTCATCTTTGTTTAATACTTCACTATTAAATTTTATTGCCTTTTGTTTATCTCACTTTTACACTAAACACAATATTGCAAATATTACCCGAGCACAACAATAGCGGAGAATTTTAGGTGCGTGAGAGCAGACGTGGACACTAACGCGCATGCGCACTTGTCAGTACCCAGGGAGGAAAAGTTACACTTTCTTCCCTGTACAGCGGGAGGAAAACCGAACTTTCGGCGTAGGTAGGAGAAAAAACAAATTTTGCTACTCTCTAATTAGATCTCAATAGATTAATTTTAATACTATTTTGAATATTAGTACCGATATCTTTAAATGTCTTCAGGGCTGAATTCGGAAAGCAATGGCCCCGTTCGATAGATGAAGTGTGGTATCGACGCGCAGTCGAGCAACATTACGTGGATCCCCTCAGCTACGTTTACAGCGTTGAAATAAACACAGATAAGTTTCCGTTGAATATCAGTAATGCTGTTGTAACTGCTTCTCATGCGGTGTTCCATGGAGACGGCTACAAGAAAGCGCCAGCAGCCGTAGTCGGGTTCCAGTTCAAGCACGAACGTCTTAGCGAGTGGTTTGAGAATATAACTTCGTCGGTAAGTTTTCGGGACGATTGTACAATTAAAAAACAAATGAAGTACTCAACCAACTTTTATACTTTGATGTAATTTTAAGCACTTACCCATAAAGATTAAATACTTTTTTTTATTGCTTAGGTGAGTGGACGAGCTCACAGCTCACCTGGTTTTAAGTGGTTACTTGGAGCCTATAGACATCTACAACGTAAATGCGCCACCCATCTTGAGATATCAGTTTTAAGGTCTCAGTATAATTACAACGGCTGCCCCACCCTTTCAAACCGAAACGCATTACTGCTTCACGGCAGAAATAGGCGGGGTGGCGGTACCTACCCGTGCAGACCCACAAGAGGTCCTACCAGCAGTAATTACGCAAATTATAATTTTTACGGGTTTGATTTTTATTACACGATGTTATTCCTTCACCGTGGAATTCAATCGTGAACATTTGTCGAGTACGTATTTCATCAAAAAAACTGGTACCCGCCTGCGGGATTCGAACACCGTTGCATCGCTAGATACGAATGCACCGGACGTCTTATCCTTTAGGCCACGACGACTTCAGTCCAAATTTCATTTTGTTTAACCAAGAATAATTTAATATACAGGGGACAATTGTTATTGTATTCTTTTGTGTATTTAAATTCGTAAATTAAAGAATAATTTATATACAATGACCGGTCGTGCTTTAGTGTGAGCACAACAAGGAATGCGTGACTTGTCTCTCGGACACCTGGGACTGTTACCTCGTCGATAACAACGGTTGGATCGTCGTCAGCGAGGATGTTACACAAAATGGCCAATTCTTTGGAAGGGTTCGTTTATTTTCAGTTTTAATATAAAGTATTCGTTTTCATTTATTTATTATTATTAAATAGAAAGTCGATTTTTTTTTTATTGCTTAGATGGGTAGACAAGCTCACAGCCCACCTGGTGTTAAGTGGTTACTGAAGCCCATAGACATCCCCAACGTAAATGCGCCACCCACCTTGAGATATAAGTTCTAAGATCTCAAGTAAGTTACAACGGCTGCCCCATCCTTCAAACCGAAACGCATTATTGCTTCACGGCAGAAATAGGTAGGGTGGTGGTACCCAACCGCGCGGACTCACAAGAGGTCCTGCCACCAGTAATAAATGGATGGATCGATGGAACTCATGGACGATATTCGAGGTCAGTATCAATTTCATAGTATAACCAGTGTTCGATTTACACAAGAACGCATGAGTGTTTCGCCACAGAAATGGGTAGAGAGATGTAACTTACCAATGGCGGATTAATCAAAATTACAATACGCCATACCACCACTAGTATTAAATTGATATTAGTTTATTCAAAAGACGATTCATAAATAGCTTAACCTTTTACGGAATGTCTCAATGGTATAAGTAAAAGACTCTCCACAGAAAAATACCTACATCATTGTTTCGGTTGCACACAATGTAAAACAATTGAAATCGGTTAGTTCAAGGACATTGTTTAATATGAAGCAGGCAACGACCGCCTTGCTTTGCTTTACAATGAGTGCTACGAAATATGTGCTGTAACTATAATATTTTCGGCTTAACTTAGAATCTGAATATTGCTTTTCGTTATTTTCTACCATATCTAAGATGTGTATTTTGGCAATGAAAGTGAGTGGTCGCCGGACTCATGGGTACCAAAAGCATAGGAAAGTTGCCTACGACCGAGCCCCTTGTGCTTAGTGCGAGTTTTTTAACGTTTTCGATAGCGTAAAAGTTAACCCAATTTTGAATGCAGTTGGAACAGCGCCCCTAGCGGCAAACGTAGGCAAACAATCCCATTCCATACAAAATTAAATATGAACTAACTTTTACGCTATCGAAAACGTTAAAAAACTCGCACGAAGCACTCTAATGTGTCCTTTGAAGAAGACATGTTATACCTATATATTATTGATCAGGACACACCGATGAATGAAGTTCAAGAGCCGAATGGTACTTTACAAAAATATCTCTGGAAACGCACCGTGGAACAATTGCGTTTTCGTCGAAGTAGTTTGTAGCATTTTAATCAATCCTTTTCCCTGATTTTCCTCTAACTTTGTCAAGTAGGGAAATATGGGTGAAAAATGTCTATTATAATTTTATTGATGCATACATAAATATCACCAAATAAATAGTTTAAGCTATTTTCAATTAATTATCAATTCAAATAAAATTTATCAATAGCTCTGAATTGGATAGCATTTGAAACTCGTATTCTAGACTGCAAAATTTCAGATTCGTCCCGATATAATGACGAAGCTGGTCGAAGACGAAGTTTACAAAGCCGTGCATATTGTAGACTATCAAGCTGTCTGCTTCCGAGAAAAGAAAACCACGAATCCTGCTTCAACATTGATGACGGTGAATATAACGATCTAACATTGATTGTATTTGTAATATTATCTAATTATGAATTCTAATACATATTACATTCATTGAATTGTTTATGTCTAACTGTCCACGCACCGTGTATCGGACTGTGTTAAAAACATGAAAATATTCTGGGTACTTCAAAATTCATCAGACGGGATTGTCTTGGCTTTACACCTGACATTGCTGACGCACATGACCACCCCTCATTATCTGTATAGTCTAGTATATCTGTAGCGATAAAAAAAAATTAAAATAATTCCTTAAAAAAGTTTTGACATAAATTTAATTTCAAACTGGAATATATTTCAATTTCACTAATTTTTTTTTTGTGTTTGCATACCTAAACTACGATACGAGATTTATTTCGATGGATGGTCAATCAAAGTATTATAATGTTGCAGCCGTTGCACAATTTTAAGATCATAACCTCATGGTTTGTGTCTACAACTTTATGGTTTTACAACTCGATCGCTTTAAGTTTCGCTCAAGCCTCCAGCTACTCTTTCGACGATGGTAAGTGATTTACTCCAGTAGCTTTTGTTGCAATATTGATAGAAATCAATAAATATATTAATGAATATATATGACGCTAACTGTCGCGCATGTGGAATGTACACGTGTGTTTTTATTGTGTAAGTGTCTAGTTACCAAAGAGCATATCCCCACAATCTTCTTTAAATGTACGCAGAGGTTTTAAAGGAGAAAGTGCACTATAAATGTTACTAAGAAATAAATCCTGTTCATTGTATGGCAATCATTTTACAGTGTTCTGCACAATTGTCAAAATATTGGCGAATTGCATGATCACAATTGTTCTTTTTATAAAAATCGATTAGTGCTGAACTACTGAATATTTCGTTCTCTCAATTAATATTTGTTACTCGATAGGTCTATCGCATCGAGCAATTGGGCAGCCTTATCTTTCTGTTAGATTCTGAGCGCGCACTAGTTTCACAGACTATTTAGATCACTATAAAATATAGAAGTCAAAATTTGTTGATGGAGTCAACAATTGGACTTAGATGTTTGACTAAAGTAGTAATGACTCCATTTGTTTTCAGACTATGTTACACCCACTGGTGAGTTATAGAGCACTGTAGAATTTACATATAGTCATTTAGGTACAGACTTCAAGCGTTTTTTTTATGTAAACCACAAATTTTTAACATCCTAGTTCATGCTCTAAATATTTGTGGTGGGTAATGTTTCTAGTTGGCACGGGATATTTATTACTGTTCTACTTATTATTATTTTTCCCTACCTATTCGTTGGTAGCCTATGCGGCTATTCCAGCTACGCCCTCACGGGTAGGTGAGCTCACGGGCTCAATCTGAGAGAATTTGCTAACAACCCTAGCAAGAGCAGCGCTTCGCAGAATCTACCACCGGATCGGAATCGCGAGCCACTGAGAAGATCGCGCGCGAACCTCAGTGGGCTTTCTACTTATTTTACGCGAAGCATCGTACGTTCTGATTTGAAGGAAATTCAATTAGGACTTTAATCTCACGCCTTTACGGACTCAAATACTCATTCAACATCTAGCCATCGTCAACATTCACGTGAGCTCACCTGGTTAATTTTAGTTCGAAAAAAGATACAAATACCATTCCATATTTTCAACGTATAGGTATATAAAAGTATAAGGCCAACATTGAAACAACGATTAAATATACATTACTTTGCCTGTTTCCACTATTTCGATTTCTTATATAGATAGATGTAGATGCTATATCATTTTCTTTAAATACCTTTTAAGATTTCACAAGTAACAATAATAGTTCTGAATTTTAGTGACTTCATTTCGTAATGCACTTTAGTTTAATTTTGTTTGGAATATAGGTATTTTATTTACCCAATATTATAGTGCATCACTCGTTTTCATAAATAATTTGAGGGAAAGATTTTCATATCGAAAATCAATTGTTGTGTTGTAGTCAATACGTGTGAATAAAACTTTACATTATATATTAAACATAATTGAATTTGATATTTATGATCGTATTATACTGAAATATATTTGACGAAAAATAAAAATGCATTTGTAAATGTTTAAAAATAATTGAAGTCGTGAATCTCAATATGCCATTTTGTATAAATGGAAATTTGGTCCAACAGACCATGTTTATTTGGGAGATTAAAATCCACGAATTTTACGATTACAGACCATAACTTTCGCATCATATTTAAAAGGTACGCTATCTAGCTATTTAGTACGTATTTTTGTAAACCACTGATTAAAAAAAATTAACTTTTACTGTACCTATGTTAAAAAAAATTAAAGCTTGATAACAAATAAATACTATTTTAAATGGGAAAAATACTTAGTTTTTACCGTCTTAAAAGGCAGACGAGGGTACAGCCTACTTGAAGATGAGTGCTATTGATGCTTAGAGACAACAACAATGTCAGAGACACAACTAGGCGGATATGTTGACAATTTAAAACACCCAGAAGATGTTTCTCGATTTTTTACATAGTATGTTAAGTGGATAGTCACAGTAATCAGGACTGATTCACTAGTTCAGCGACTGCTTTCCTGAAGACCAGTATGTTTCTGAAAGATATTGTTTTTCCGATACCTAAAATATGCACAGGATAAAATAGTTTTATTTTTTTAATTAACTAACCGTTCTGTTGTACCTATCAGTGAGGGTAGATATTATCTCGTTTATTTACTACAATTTATTTTGTAAAAATTATTTCCGTTCTATTTTTAATACACTTCTTTCACTGACTTCGTAACTTAACATCTGTAATTAACAATACCTTGTCATTTCAGGGGAACTTAATCGATGGGATTTTGTATTTTCTTAAGCTTTCACTGGTCTCAAGCATAAGATTGAACTGTAAAACTCTCGCTTAATCATGTTATACTTTTTTAGTAAAATACTTTTTGAAACCATGCCATTCATATTCTCAACTTTTAAATTTCTTCACGTGCATGAACAGGGCAAAAGGAGGTCACATTTTTTTTAAACAAATCTACCATGTAACTAAAAACAGTATTGTATTATACATAATTCGACGTTTGAAAGGCAAACGTGACTAAGCGACAAGGCGTGAACTTTACAGTAGACTAATTTAAAGTTGATATACCTGAAAAAAAATCTATTTTAACGAATCTAGCTGTAGGATTGTAATTATTTTAATAGACCTAGAAATGATTTTTTTTGCGCATCGAATATGATTATTGCCTATCATTTATGTACAAAGCAGTTATTGTCGCTTAGTCACGTTTGCCTTTCAAGTGTCAATATGCATGTTTCATCGTTGCATTGTTTATGTTCAGTAATATCACGATTTTGACCGCAGTTGCATATCAGAGTTACGAGAACGATGAAGAAAATGACGATTCTTACATGTCGAAACCGACGAATATGCGAACTTTAGAGAGGGACTTCGAGAAATTGGTGTTGATCAACAGAACCAGACCGACGCCTTGCGATAGAGAAATGTTCCTTTACCAGCTCGAGTACAGCAATTTGGACGCGAAATTAAACAAGCCAGTTAAAGACTGCGAAAGGCCGTTTTACGCTCAGCTTGTGAACTATACGAATATGCTTATGATAGTTGTCGATGCGAGCTGCCCTAGAGAAGAAGCGTCTATGTCTTTTATAGAAGCGACTGAAGTCCAATACAATGAATCGTTGCCATGCTTGAAACATGTGCATCCTCTGTACAGAAAACAACCTACATCGTGTATCAAGAACCACACAGAAGTACGTACATTTTTTTATATATAGCCAATGCTAAATAAATAGCGGAACTCTAAAATCTCGTTGTGCAATTTGTCCGTATGTCAAATGTTAATTAATCAGGTAGGCAGCGGCGTGGCTCTGCCCCTGGTATTGCTGACATCCATGAGCGACGGTAACCACTCACCATCAGGTGGGTCGTATGCTCGTCTGCCTATACGGCAATAAAAAAAAATCGGGGACTAGCAAACTTTTTTTGAAATTTGATAAGGATTGCATGGATTTCTGTGTGCTTACTTAGTGTGTGTTTTTTAACGTTCTCGATAGCGTAAAAGTTAGCTCATATTTGTATGCAGTTGGAACAGCGCCCCTAACGGCAAACGTAGGCAAACGATCCCATTCCATACAAATATGAGCTAACTTTTACGCTATCGAGAACGTTAAAAATCTCTCACTAAGCACACTGTATGCGAGGTGTCGAAATTAGAATTGTAGGTCTTAAAGCAGTGTTAAAATTAAACTGAGCATTTCTAGAGCTGTAACTTTTCATATCAAAACTATTCAGGCTAGGTAAAATAATAATTAGGTAGATAGGTAATTTTGTTCTATGAATGAAATTGCTTAAAGTTTTTTGTTTCTTTTCAGGAAAGCAACATCGACATGTGCGGCAGAGGATCCCTTCCGAGCTCTAATTTTTTTTGGATAATATTTAGCACTTTCGTCACATATCATCATTTATAAATAATTAAATATTTAATTATGTACGTAACTTTCGAGAAATCTAAATGTACGATACCATAGATCTATGGGGTTGGTTTAGAAATATCATAATAAGGGCGATTTTAAAATTAATGTCTCAAAAAGTACCTAGTTACATTAATATAATTAAAAAAAATCTAATGTATGTGAATGATAAGAAAATAATAAATAATACAGAAAAATCCAATAATTTCCTATATAAAACATATTATTATTAATTGTCGATAAAATTCATATGATGTAAATTTTATTGATCTCTAAAATATTTATCAAAAAAAAAAACATATTTTTTAAGCCCTAATAATAATTATTATGTATAATATATGTACATGTCATAGTAACATATCAATAATTGTTTTTAACGTTTTAAGTTCAATCGTAGTGTTATGCTCCCGTGGTGCCACGATTAGAAAACTTAAATAAAGAAAACAATAAAATCATCATATCAAACATACAAGTATTCTCCGTTTAATTTTCATTATAATTGTTAATCTAAAATAAGGAAGTATAAAATAATGTGTAGCTTTTGTAAAACAATGGCTTTTTAAAACAATCAATGAACTAAGAAACTGTGAACTGTTACTTTTTTGTAAACTCCGTCCTTTTAAGTTTATTGGATGGAGTTAAAATAAAATTTATTTACATAATTATTATGCTCTTTTAAAATTTATTATAAATATATTATATAGATTTTAAATAAATTATATAGATTTTAATCTTATTTAACCTACCAAGGGCCATAGCAACTGAACCTTACCTTGAAATTAATGACTGGTGGAACCTGTTGGAAGAGAATAATATCTTGTTTTATCGTGATCTCTGTTATTATGCCATAATAGAATTAAAGTACAGAATTCCTAAATTTTATTTTTAACGTTAGTTCAATAAATTTTAATAATGTAATAAACCTTTTTATTCAAATATGATTGTTGTTGGGTACAAAATAAATATTGTCTCTATTTCAAATTGTTTATTTTTAAACAAAACAAAAACAACATTAGCGAGCTTCTTTTATCCGTTTACAACATTTCATTTACTCCACAAATCAACTTCCAATCTTTTATTTATCAGAATGCAGGTCACAATAAATCCTTGATATAGAATAATATTAGCGAAAGTCTTCTAACTACATACTTATTGTTGTTACATAGAAGAAGTTTCAGGACAAACTAATTATTTTCAATGGTTTTTCCTCTGTCTTTATTCAGAATGTTTTCAATTTCTTCCAGTAAAAGCTTGTGTCTTTCTTTCTTAAGGAGTGACTCCTGTAACTGTTCTAGTTGCTCTCCACCTTCCATAAAACCTTTGAGATTATGGAATGTCCCACCACCATCTCGATGTTCTGTCACTCTATCTTGAGGGAAGTTGTATGTTCTTATTTTTTCATTTCTGTTGCCAGACCCAACCTGAAATGATCAAGAATAGCTTGAGACTTACTAAAAAAAATCTTAGGTTGTGAAGGAGCTGTGTATTCTAGTTTGAAGGTTGGAATACAATGCAATTAAGTTTTTGAATCATGTCTAAAATTGTGATGTCTAGGAGTTTCAGAAAAAAAAGCTCATGGCAACTTAACATCAAACAGGCCAAAACCTTGTTCACTTGTTTATTGCATAGACAACAAAAGCCTAATTTAAATGTTCAGATTAATCTACAAAATATAGTTTTCTAATTCACATAAATAAAATAAAAATAAAGTTGAATTCAATTTTTTTAAATAGTTTCATTTCTTACTGATTTTTCTGCCCAACAATAATTTTAATTACCAATGTTGTTGCAGGAGGTAGGTTGTGAATTGCTTTGCAGAATTATTTATCATAATCCCTCCATTTCCAATTTACCATTGCACCCCAACTACAGGAGTAGAGTTCTTCCATACAATCTGGAAACGTTATTTTCTTCCAGACTTTGGAATTAACTCCCCTCCAGGGTTTGTTCCCAAATACTATGACACGTCCTTACTTAAGCAAGGTTTGACAGTACTTAGCAGTAGACAGGAATTGGCTGTGACCCTGGATGGTTGTTGATGAGTAAAGGTGACCATATTATCAGATGGGCCATTATATGTTTATTTGCTTACAAAGAGAATAAAAAGTTGACAAACCTGCGACTTCCTCTCACTTTGCAGTTTTAAAGCTTGTTCTTGTATCTGCTTCTCCAATAAAAGAGTTCTCAGTTTCTGCATAGCAATTTGTTTGTTCTTTATCTGTGATCTTCCTTCTTGGCACTCAACTGTTGTTCCCGTCGGTGTATGTATTAGCCTTACAGCACTATCGGTTGTGTTTACATGCTGACCTCCAGCCCCACTAGCTCTTTTTGTCTCTATTACTACATCACGTTCAGGGATGTTCAGTTCTATTTCAGAGGGCTGTGGTAAAATAGCGACAGTGACTGTACTAGTATGTATACGTCCACCTTTCTCTGTAGCAGGAATTCTTTGAACACGATGCACTCCAGCCTCCATCCTCATCAGTTCAGGTACACCAAAACCTTGTATCAACATTGATCCTTTACGAACTCCACCTATTTCGGTTAAGTCAAATGATGCTATATCAACTTCCCAACCTTTGTTGATAGCATAAGATTGGTACATGTTGAAGAGTTCTTTTGCAAATAACATCGCTTCTTGCCCTCCAGCTCCTGCAGTTAGTTCTAAGAGTACACCACCTTCAGTTAATGGTGGTTCGAGAAGAATTAACTGTAAATCGTCATCTATTTCCTTTAGACGTTTCAGATATATCGCCGCTTCTTCCTTTATCATCTTTTTTATCTCACTATCGTCACCTTCTTTTTTATTTAATTCTTTAAGTGACTCAATACTATCATATAAAGCTATCCTTTGTTCTAGGACATTTACGATTGGTTTTATTTCCTGTAAGCGTCTAGCTTCTTCGGAGGATTTTTTCATTTTACTTAGCAAGTTTTCATGCTCTACCATCAAATGCTTAAGATATGTTTGAATAGCAGGGTCCGAAAGGTTCATGATATTATGTGAGCAGTGTCTACGGAAATGCAATAATTGTCTTTCAGAATTCAAGAACGAGCGAAGAAAGAGAAGTTTCGGAAACGACATTGTTAAATCGGCCAGTCAATTTTGAAGTTATTAGAATTTGTCAATTTTATATAATACTTGTTTCTTGGTTATGTTTTGATTGTCAATTGTTAACATAATGTTGGTAACCTACCAAGCCTGTACTATTGTACGTTTTACGACAATTTAATCCCGAATTCAATTCAACTTTGTGACTCAATCAGCTGAGACATGACATTGACACCTAATAGATTGACAACCATTAAGTTTCCATTTGCCAATAATTTTGCATGAAAAAAACTAATATTTAACTCTATGATTCCATAGCTTATCATCACATTAAACGGCTCTGTAAATTTGGCCCCCCTTTTTATAAAAAAAATCCGAAAATAATTTTTAATTAACGAAAATTATTTGTTCGTCGTTTGTTCGGTAATGTTCGAATGTAAAAATTGTTTGTTCGTCTTTTGTTTATTTATAATTAATTAAATAAATGATCACCGTTAAGTGGGCCCCCTTTACTAGATATCTTTATTTTTATCGCTCAGATTAATTCATTTTGATCAATTATCGTTTGTTCGACGACTATTGGTGATTGTTCGATCATAAAAATAATTAAATTCCCAATTATTAATTATTTTATATTAATGTAATACCGAAATACTTCACGAGATGGCGTTACAAAAAATCCCTTCCCAAAACTATAAAACCGTTGTTATACTGAATAAATAATATTAATTCGTATAATAAATAATATTTATTCGTAGGTCATTGTTTAAGATGTTATGAATATTTCAGTTTTGATTTCATCAAAATAACTTGAACTTTACTACTGAATTCCGAAAAAAAATCTAATTAAGGCTGAGTTAAGTTCAGCTTTTTATTTAAGCCTCTTACTTTAGTTTTTAAATTACATTTATGCGGATTGATGTTTCAAAGCTTTCAGATTTCAATTTTAAAATCTGAAATAATTAAGAACAGCGTCATCTACCGTTCACATTTGAAACAGAATTTAATTCGGTTAAAATTTGTAAAAGTTGATGTTGATTATTATTACACTAATTAATTGAGCGTTTCATTAGCTTTTAAGCTGAGTGGCTATTTATAATTTATTTTTATTCTATTGTCTATTTTTGTTAAGTAATAAATGAGCAAAAAATAATACTTAACAAAAAGATATGAAATCCGAACAAAAACAGTTTTACTGTAAAAAAATGCGCCAAGTCCAATTCTATACGAGTTCTAAGACCACCACATAAACAAAATACAAAATACTCGCCAAAACAAAGACTTAAATGCCCTTAAAATATATTATTTCGGTATCGTTCAATCGTCGTGCCTATCGCCGGGCGGAGAGCCGCCGGGTCCTGGGCGAGGCGATGGAATTAAATCGCACGCACGACACTTCCTCCCTCTCCCTCCCACTTAAACTTAGGGCTGCCTCCCTTTACTGTTATTTTTGCATATTAAAAGCCTCTACAATTTCTGCCGCTGGGGGCTTTTACTGCATTCCTAGGCGGATCGACAGTATATCTCCTGTATGCGTGTGCTTTTATAGATGTCATTTAAAAACGAAACTTTAGGTCGAATTTCGACTACCGGACGACCACTAATGTTTTTAATTTAATTGAAGTCGTCGTGGCCTAAAGGATAAGGCGTCCGGTGCATTCGTGTCTAACGATGCAACGGTGTTCGAATCCCACAGGCGGGTACCAATTTTTCAAATGAAATACGTACTCAACAAACGGCTGGTGCTAGTTGCTGGAGCTAGCAGCTGGAGCTAGCGGCTGGTGCTAGTTGCTGGAGCTAGCGGCTGGAGCTAGCGGCTGGTGCAAGTTGCTGGAGCTTGGGCTGGTGCTAGCGGTTGGTACAAGTGGCTGGTGCAAGTGGCTGGAGCTAGCAGCTGGTACTAAAATGCTGGCGCTAACGGCTGGGGCTTGCTGCTAGAGCTAGCGGCTGGTGCTAGTTGCTGGAGCTAGCGGCTGGTGCTAGTTGCTGGAGCTAGTGGCTGGTGCTAGTGGTTTGGGTCTAGCGGCTGGTGCAAGTTGCTGGAGTTAGCGGTTGGAACTAGCGGCTGGTGCAAGCGGCTGGAA